CTCTGCCTACTTGTGATCTCTGTCAAATTAAAAAAAAAAAAAAAAAAAATCTTAAAAAAAAAGTTATCTGCATACATAAAAGCAAAAACTGGAAGAAATGAAATGTTCAACAACACGGGAAGAGTTAAGAAATTTTGGTATAGCCACTGAGTGAAATGGTTTGTAGTCACTAAAAGTGATCCTTGTGAACACAGGACAGCTACATGGAAAAACACTTTGACCTAATTTTATACAAGAATAATGCAAAAGTTAAAAAGTTATTAATATTGTAATTACCAAAAAAAGTGACAGATGAGTAATGACTATATGAAGGAGAAAAATTAGGAATTGTTTCATAAGGTTATTCATATTTAACTGAAAATTAGTTGATACATAGTATTAGTTCCAGGTGTACAGCACAGTGATTCAATAATCATACACACACATGACAAAATGCTCTTAGCAGTTTAAGTGTAGTCACCATAAGATCTTACTACAGTATTACTGACTATATTGCCGATCCTGGACTTTTCAGCCCTATGACCTCTTTGATAACTCAAGTTTGTACCTCCTATTTCTCCTCACCTAGTTCACCTATCCTTCCTTTGGCAACCATTGGTTTGTTCTCCTCACACCAATAACTCTGTTTCTGCTTTGTTTTTTAAATTCCACATGGAAGTGAAACACTATCTTATTTCACTTTGATCCCGAAGTAGTTATGTTCCACAACAATTTAAAATTAAAAAGGCGGAGCACCTGGGTGGCTCAGTTCATTGAGCATCTGCCTTCAGCTCTGGTCATGATCTCAGCGTTCCAGGACTGAACCCCACATCAGGCTCCCTGCTTCTGCCTCTCCCTCTCCCTCACCCCCTCTGCTTGCTTTCTCTCTCTCATAAATAATATCGTTAAAAAAAAAAAAATTGGGCATCTGGGTGGCTCAGTCATTGGGCGCCTGCCTTCAGCTCGGGTCATGATCCCAGGGTCCTGGGAATGAGTCCCGCATCTAGCTCCCTGATCAGCAGGAAGTCTGCTTCTCCCTCTCCCACTCTCCCTGCTTGTGTTCCCTCTCTCACTGTGTTTCTCTCTGTCAAATAAATAAAATCTTATAAAAAATAAATAAAAATAAAAATAAATAAATAAAATAAAAAAGGAAAATAATCACAGAACTCGCTAAGGCTTAGAACAAAACAAAACATTTACACACTCTATCTGTATTTACAATTTATGGAAAATACACCTTCAGAGCATGATTATTAAGACATAAACTCCACAAAAATCAGAGAATGCCAACTTAAAGACAACATAAAAGCAGTGTCCTCAGCTGCCACCATGCCTCACGAGGCCCTCACCGTCACCATAACCTCCCTCACCACTCCCATTCGACTCTGCCCAACTCCCCTATCTCCAAAGGGTCTAAGAGAAGCCTTCTCCTACTTCTAGATCTTCACATGTGCTCTTCCTTTGACTTGAAACACTTTTTACGCCATTCCAACCAACCCATGTTGTATAGTTCACTCATATTCATCATTCAGGTTTCAACTTCACACGTCGCTTTCTCAAATTCTTCTCCAACCCAAGCCTGAAGTCATGTACTAGTGCTACACACATCTTTCCACTGCAGATGTTCACTGTATCACAGACTGCAAGCTTCTTTAGGCATGACTGTCATTTTTCAGTCTTATACTTGTATCTCCATAGTACAGGATTTCTCAGTTTTGGCACTCATTCTGGACTAGTGACTTTTGGGGACGGCGGGTGGAGGCTGTCTTGTGTACTCCAAAATGCTAATAAGAAATATCCCTGGCCTCTATCAGGCTAGTGACACCCTCTCAGTTAGGACACCAAATATGTCTGCAGACATTGCTACAGCCAAAGAGAGAGAAAAGGAATGAGTGTGTATGTTATAGAAAGTGGAGAGAGGAGTCAAATGAGTTGTAAGGTAAACAAATGGGGAATCTAGGTAAAAGGTTCTACATTGTATATGGGAGCTCTCTACATTGTTTCAACTCTTCTTCAAGCTTAAAATTACTGCAAAATAGAAAGTTAAAAAAACAAGTACAGTTGATTCTTCAATGACTCAGGTTTCAACTGTGTGAGTCCACTTACATGTGAGGTTTTTTTGGTATAGTACACTATAGTAAATATATTTTCTCTTCATGATTTTCTTAATAACATTTACTTTTCTCTGGCTTTCTTTCTTTTTAAAAAATTTTATTTATTCATTTGAGAGAGATAGAGCACAAGCGGGGTGGGGGGCAGAGGGAGAAGAAGAAGCAGACTCCCTGCTGATCAGGAAGCCCGACATGGGGCAACATGGGGCAACATGGGGCTCAACATGGGGCAACACAGGGCTTGATCCTGGGACTCTGGGATCATGACCTGAGCCAAAGGCAGATTGCTCAACCAACTGAGCCACCCAGGCGCCCCTACTGTCTGGCTTACTTTATTGTAAAAATACAGCACATCATGGGGCGCTTGGGTGGCTCAGTGGGTTAAGCCTCTGCCTTCGGCTCAGGTCATGATCTCAGGGTCCTGGGATTGAGCCCTGCATCGGGCTCTCTGCTCTGCAGGGAGCCTGCTTCCCCTTCTCTATCTGCCTGCCTCTCTGCCTACTTGTGATCTCTCTGTCAAATAAATAAATAAAATCTTAAAAAAAAAAATATAGCACATCATATATAGAACATACAAAATATGTGTTAATTGACTGTTTAAGACTTTCAGTCAACAGCAGACTATTGTAATTAAGTTCAGGGGGATTGAAAACGTATATACATTTCCAACTGAGGGGCGAGTGGGAGAGGAAGGCAGAAATAGTGGGTGTGTTTGCACCCCCAACCCTGATGCTGGTCAAGGGTCAATGTAAAACCAATACTCTTTCATGACATCAAATGCTGACTCTTATCCGTAAGATAAAAACATATGGTATAATGAATTCCTATGATTAACTTGGGAGGAATTAAGTGTTAGTGGAATTACAGCACTCGATGTTCATCATAAGCCCCAAGGCAAATTTCACTGGACTCTTCACTCCTAAAAGCATAATCAGCAAAAGGAGAAATAAAATGGCAAGCTTTAACAGACTATTTTTAGATGTTTCTCTTTGGTGGTATAATAGACATATTTGTCTTCTCCCTGCCAAAAAATTCCCACACATTGGTCCAAGATGTGATAGTAAATCTCAGGCAGACTGATGCTTATTTTTCAAAGCCTTGTGTTGAAATACTTTTTCCTAACCCTAAAAGAACTATTTGATAAACAAGGGAGAATACTTTTCCTTTCTTTCTAAAACGGGAGGAGGAGGGGGAGATCACCTTTCTTACTTACCTTCAACCCGTGATTCCAAGTGCTTATCCAGCTCTGAATCTTTTCTCACTGCTTCATCTGAGACCTTGGGAGCATTTGAAAAGCAAACTAGTACAATACTCATGTTATCTCGACTTCCCTGTATTTTAAAGAAAAAAGAAAGAAAGAATTGTATTTCCATAGTCCAGCAACTTTCTACTATTTAATTCAAAACAGTTAATTACATTAAGCAATTATAGTTTATTTAAATGACCAGAATGTACACACTCAACACAATCATTTCCATTCCAAAGAACTATCTGAAGTATTCCCTGAAGAAATAAGATCTCTAGATAAGGAAAGATCTATAATTACTTTATGACTTTTAATTCTGTGAACCTATTCTTACCCACCAGCACTCCACAACCTAAGAAATGAAGGTATCTTCATATGTACTATCTTCTAAACTCTGTTTCCCACTCAAACTGCATATTCCCAGAGTGGCTTCTGCCCAGAAACATGCTCCCAAACAAGTGTGCACCAGATCTGCACCAGAGCAATGCTAACAAAATTCTATTGACTTTGACATAGCTGAAAATTACTGATCATTAGGATACCCAAGACACTATACTGAACAATTACAAGCAGAGAAGAAAACAGACTGTAAACTGTTCTGAGGATAAAGCAGCAAACAATGGAAGGTAACTGGATAGCTGAGATACTGTAGTCAGATATAATAACTTTCAGAGAACAGACACCAGATTTTGTTTTTTAAAGATTTTCTTTTTTCATCTATATATCTGACACAGAGAGATACAGAGGGAGAGCATGAGCAGGGAGAGAGGCAGAGGAAAAGGGAAAAGTAGACTACCTGCTGAGCGGGGCAGCCCAACGTGGGGCTCGGGGCTCGATCCCAGGATCATGATCTGAGCCAAAGGCAGACACTTAACCAACCGAGCCACCGAGGCACCCCAAGACAGGAGTCACAAATCGTATCAGTCTGCAGAGGGGAACCAAAACTGCTAACTTAGGGACAAATTTTACTGTTGCCCTGGTAATCATACTACCATACACAAATCATCTATATTGTAAAAAGTAGCATTATTACCATGAGATTATGAGAAATAAATTCTAAAATTTCTTGTACCTTTTCCTGTAGGTATATATATTACTTTAACTGAGTTTCTTAGAACAGTAACTTACAACACTGATTTTTTTCAACCCAACCCCCCTAAAAATACTAAGTCAATGGAGGTGGTAGGCAACTTTGATGGTGCAGTTTGCCAACCCAAGTGAAAAAAGCCAAGATCATACCCATTCTAGTCTTTTCAATCATTATGGCCAGAATCTAGGCAGGCATTGTCTGGTTCAGACTTGCCACCTTTTTGGAACCCACATGGACACAAAGTCCTTGAAAAACTCTTGCCACCACCTCCTAAAATTCAATGTAGCAAAGCTTGAAGACAGTGGAGGTCAGGCCTTAAGAAGGCTTCAAAAAGAATAACTCTTTCCAGAGAGTGGGAAAAAATATCACGAGTATATAAAACCAGATTCTCCATAACTGAAAAAAAAAAAAAAAAAAAAAACAAGATTTCCAAAAAAAAAAAAAAAAAAAAAAAAAAAAATCAGGATTTCCAAAAAGATCAGGACTGGCCCAAACTAATTTTATTCTTTAATGAAATCCACCAAGACTTTCACAATGACTTCATATTAGAAAATATGCACTGGATGTATGAATACATACAGATATCCACACAAACACTATGGTTCCAAATAGCATCTCTGCCCCCCCAAAAAGGTCAATACATTTTATAGGAATCATGATTGACCATGTAAGTTCAGATCAGGCAAAAGCTTTATACCATAGATATTAAAATTACACACACACACACAATTTCCATTAGGTTCTTATGTTATAAAAATTATATCTTATCAATTGGGAAATTAACTGAAATACAGTTTCAGGAGGTTTAAATATCAAAAGATAAAGGAAATAATTTACATTTACACCTCAGCTATGTGTGATTCCAATGATGTTTCTTCTATTTCTACATAAAGACAATTTTCAGGGGTGCCTGCGTGGCCTGACAGCTGAGCAACTGACTTGGGTTCAGCTCAAACCCAACCACTGCTCCCAAGCTCTGCACTCAGCCCAGTGCCTCCTTAAGATTCTCTGTCCTGGGGCGCCTGGGTGGCTCAGTGGATTGAGCCTCTGCCTTCGGCTCAGGTCATGATCTCAGGGTCCTGGGATCGAGTCCCGCATCGGGCTCTCTGCTCAGTGGGGAGCCTGCTTCCCTCTCTCTCTCTGCCTGCCTCTCCATCTACTTGTGATCTCTCTCTGTCAAATAAATAAATAAAATCTTTAAAAATCTTAAAAAAAAAAATTTCTCTGTCCTTCTCCCTCTGCCCCTCCCCCCACCCTCTCTCACTCGAAAAAAAACCAATTTTAAAAAAAAAAAAAACAAAACAAAACCCAGGGTGCTACAGTGTACCCAAAGAAATATTAAAAATGAGGGAAAACAGATTGATATTCCATGTCTACAGACACCCTGCAAACCAGTGTGAAGTAGTTCACAGTGTTAACATCTGGTAACACTATATTCCTCTCAATGACATCGTATCTTTCCAAAGCCAGGGTTTTGAGAGTTGCTATGATAAAAAGCAAGTCCCAGGGGCACCTGGGTGGCTCAGTGGGTTAAGCCTCTGTCTTCGGCTCGGGTCATGATCCCAGGGTCCTGGGATTGAGCCCCACATTGGGCTCTCTGCTCAGCGGGGAGCCTGCTTCTCCTTCTCGCTCTCTGCCTGCTTCTCTGCCTACTCATGATCTGTCAAATAAATAAAATCTTAAAAAAAAAAAAAAAAAAAAAGCAAGTCCCATAAAAAAAAATCAACGTGATACAGGAAATGAGGGTGGCGTGCCCAATGATTCCAAGATTTGAGAAGCTGTGCAGTGACCAACACAGTACCCATATCTCATTAGTATGTAGTCCTTTTCTTATTTTTTTAAATTTGTTTATTTAGGGGCGCCTGGGTGGCTCAGTGGATTAAGCCGCTGCCTTCGGCTCAGGTCATGATCTCCGGGTCCTGGGAATCGAGCCCCGCATCGGGCTCTCTGCCTGCTTCTCCCCCCCACTCTCTGCCTGACTCTCTGCCTACTTATGATCTCTTTCTCTGTCAAATAAATAAATAAAACCTATTTTAAAATAAATAAGTAAATAAATAAATTTGTTTATTTATTTATTTTAGAGAGAAAGAAAGAGAAGGTAAGGGGGGGTGGTACGGGGTGGTGAGGAGTAGAGAAGGGGAAGAGCGAAGAGGAGAAAGAGAATCTCAAGGAGACTCCCCACTGAGTGCAAAGCCCCACGCTGTCTCCCTCTCACTCCCACAACAGATCCCACCACTGAGATCATGACCTGAACCGAAACCAAGAGTCAGACACTCAACCAAGTGAGCCACCCAGGGGTGTCCCTGTAACCGCAGTTTCTTAAAGAATGAAATAAAAGATTTTTTCAATGTATATATATTATTTTGTTAAGACATATATAGACTCATTAAGTTTGGCTCTAACTATATAATATTTGTATCGGCTAAGTATTAATATGGCTAAGTAGAACTGCAAAAAAATTCCGAGATAGTTGGGTACCATGGGACCAAGAAAGCTTGAGAATTACTACACTATAGACTATACTTTTACATTCAGTCCTTCCCTTTCAAAATACCCAACCACACTCCACTCTAATACTATGTGTCTACTTTCGCATCATTCAGAATTATGTTTTCTAAAAACTATAATGGAAAAACTCCTGAGTTTAAAGCTAAGCAATTTTGGGGGGCATATGGGTACATTTTCCATGCTGTATTACTAATCTGGAATGGTGCTGCCTTTGGAAAATAAGCCAAAAAGACACAAAGGCCCTGAAAATCTTCTGCCACCACCTCCTAAAACTCAACGTAGCAAAGATTGAAGACAGGGAGGTCTTGACTCTTGGTTTCAGCTCAGGTCATGAGCTAAAATTTCCCCTCAATTTGATCCAACTATCAGGTACTATCTTATGTTTTAAAATAAATAAGCTTCTGGGAGCCTGGGTGGATCAGTGGGTTAAGCCTCTGCCTTCCACTCAGGTCATGATCCCAGGGTCCTGGAATCGAGTCCCGCATCAGGCTCTCTGCTCAGCCAGGAGCCTGCTTCCCCCTCTCTCTCTCTGCCTGCCTCTGCCTACTTGTAATCTCTCTGTGTCAAAGAAATAAATAAAATCTTAAAAAAAAAAAAAGCGCTCCTGATAAGTGGTACATAAACTGAATTTAGGAAAATCAAACAGTATTTTAAAACAAAATATAAAAGAACAATTTAAAGAAACATGGACTTCTACAATTTAAGAAAAAGCAGGTGGTAAAGTAACATGAATAGGATACATTTCTGTAAAAAATAAAAACAAAAAACAAGAGAAAGAAAACCCTATTTTTTATACTTCTCTATGTTTGTATGAATAAACAGAATTGTTTGGAAGAATACATGTGGTTGCTTAACGGGGATTTTTAAAAAGGACATAAATACTAAACATCTTTGGTTTTGTTCACCCATGTTCTTATTAATCTTATAATTGTTGAAAAAAGAAAAACAAACCCTTAGCATTTCCACTCGGGAAAATTTTTCATCAAACCCTCTGTAAAACATTTGCTATGGACACACCTAACTTGAACTAGGAGATGGGAATTCTAGTCTTGACTTCAACACTCATCAAAATATGACTTAACAGGGCGCCTGGGTGGCTCAGTGGGTTAAGCCTCTGCCTTCAGCTCAGGTCATGATCTCAGCGTCCTGGGACTGAGTCCCGCATTGGGCTCTCCGCTTGGCAGGGAGCCTGCTTCCTCCTCTCTCCCTCTGCCTGCCTCTCTGCCTACTTGTGATTTCTCTCTGTCAAATAAATAAAATCTTAAAAAAAAAAAAAATTCAATATTCTTAAAAAAAAAAAAAGAAACTAATACATCTTTAAAAAAATATGACTTAACAGCTATCTTTTAATGTCAAAACTTTATTTCCTTACTTGCAAGTTGGAAACGGATTTATTTCATTCATCTCAGGTCACTAGGAGGACAAATGAGTGTTATTTATAAGTTATGAAAGGCTATGCAAACAGCAGTTACGTGGCTTATGCAACCTGAAATTAGCGTAAATACCATGAATGCTGCTACTAGCATTGGCAATGAAATGGGAAAACTGCTTTCTTAGGGGCTATTTTCTCCTAGAGTTAAGTATCTTAAGAGAGTAACGCCTAACCAGAGTCATCCAACACTTACTGCTTCATATTGCTAAGTAGCAATCCTGAAAAAGATTATCATTAGCAATAATAACGCTACCTTTTATAGTTGTGAAAATTAAATGTATTAAGACATGTGTGAACTGCTTAGAACAGCATTTGGCTGTACATAGAAAGCAGCAATTTACTGATGCTATTGTGATTATGACGATTATCACAATCTCCCCAGATTTCATGAGTTAACATATAAAACTGCTTGTAAACTATCAGGGCATTACAAGTGTTAGAAGTGTTAGAAAATATTGACACATCATTTAAATCTATTATCAGGGAAACTTCTACTGAAAAATCGGATCTACTCTCTCTCAGTTTGAAGTAGCTAGCACCTCCTGAGCAGTGGCCAAGCACTGAGCTAAAATGCTTTCCATGGATCTTAAAATTTTGTATTCAGTCTTGTAGACAAAGTTCAAAGCAATCATACCCTATTTTAATCATATTGTTTTGTAACAATGCTAACAGTTAGTTTTACACTACAAACAAGTGACAAATGATGGAGTTAGAAAAACAGAAATGGGTAAGAAGTTTAATATTTAATTCCGAAAGTAACACAGAAAGATTCAAAATATTCATAGGGCTGTTCTGTTTCAACACAAAAGTTAACTAAGCTTCTCAAAATTGACTTCAATTTGGGGCGCCTGAGTGGCTCCATCGGTTAAGCATCCAACTCCTGATCTCAGCTCAAGTCATGATCTCAGGTTGTGAGGGGGAACCCTCCCCCTCCCCCCCTCCCCGTGCTCAGCAGGGAATCTGCTTGAGTCTCCTCCTGTCCCTCTGCCCCGCACACTCCAGCGAACCTCTCACTCTCTCTAATTAAACAGTAACAACTGACTTCAATTTGAATGCAGCTTCATTCAAAGGAACCATAGTGGCCAACTTCCACTAAAATTGAATGAATCATGTGTTCCTCCAACCTTCTGTCCCTATTACTGTCATTTATCATTTCCGAGATTCCAGGAATCCAGGATATTTAATACCACCAACAGGAATATTTAATCGCAGATTAAAGCTGTCAAGCAAAGATCCACCACCAGAATCAGTTCAACCCCATTCAGAAGGGTGGAGCCAAATTTCCTGAAAGCTAATAACATCCTTTCAATGGAAGGGAGAGGCAGTTTATCCACAATACAAACTTCTTTTTTTACTCCAAATTACAGACCTAATAGATTTTAGCTATTCCCTTCAGAACTACAGGACATTCTTTCAACAAAATACCATACAACATGACAAATGATTTAGACTGATACCTACAGACATGGAGATCTCTCTACAACATACTGGTGAACAAAAAAGCATACTGTAGAATAACAAGCATAATGATCTCATTTTTATACAAATATACATACTCACGGGCAAGCAAAAAAGAATAGAAAGATATATACCACACAATGAGCACAGCCTAATTCAAGTGAGTGGCAGATTTTTGAATGTTTCTTTATAACTCCTGAATTACCTGGAATTTTTTTAATAGTTAAGTATATAGTTATTTTATAATCAGGGGAAATGCTGTCTTCATCTGCTAGGCAGGTGAAAAAACATCTGCTTGCTTTTGTCTCAAAAAAGCTGCAGGTCAGAATCTCTCCATGTAGAGTCCAAGGAGAGGGCATTTTAAAGCCTATTCAATCACTGACAACCATCGATACTTTCATACTTAACCTATCCAGTTAAGTTAAAAAAAAAAAAAAAACCATATATAGTACACTTAAGGAACAAAAACAACAACAGAAAAGCTAAAGGAACATCATTTAAAATCCTTCAGAAAAAAAGCTGCCAAATGGAAACACCATTTCTCTATTTGAAGCTGTCTCTTCCCATTCTACAAAAAAGAAGTAGACACTTCACCAAAACCTGGGTATTTCCACCGACTCAAGAGATCCTTCATTAGAAACTTTTTGGCTGTGTCTGTATCTTCCAAAGCAACTTAAAACATGGTGGGGAGACAGAACAGTTCTAATCTAGACAGAATAAGTAAGTCAGAACCTTTATTTCATATAACCAAAGGTTAGTTTTGCCTCAGTTATCTGATTTTCGATCAGAGCCATACACTACTCACATATTCTAGGCACTGGTCAGTTAACTCAAATTTTGACTGACTGTTGTATAGGCACTGTCAAAAACCCACCTGAAACTACTAAATATTTTAAAGACATTAAAGGGAATTGCTGAATATCTGTCTGCATTTGCTTTCCTTATCACTATATGAAGTTAAGATTCACAGAACGTTACAAAACTAAATTAAATGTTACAGATTCACAGGAATTCGTCACAGCATTATATCTTATACTACTCTTTGGTTTTTATTTAAGATTTTATTTATTTATTACTCTTTGGTTTTTAATCAGTAATGACAAAAAACATCTATATGAAAAGAACTCTGGTATCTTCTACCAAAGTTAAGGTATGCTCTACCATGTCATGTATCATTTATACAGAGCCACATGTAAATCCATTTTTTATTTTATTTCTAGGAAAGAACTTCTTTTACTAAATGATAAGAAACACACAATTCATACTTCTACTTCAGTTTTCATCTTAGCTGCTAGGAGGATCAGATCTAAATTACAAAACTTGACTTAGCCTAGGTCTCTGGTGTGTCTTCCAATATTATACATAGCTTTTGATCTTTTGTATGTTTACTTCAGAAGTGTACCATAAACAGTTCATCAAACTGCTTCCAAATCTGGCATAAGATCTCTACTGGCAATACTGAGAATTTAAATCAAAAGGCACAATTCTACATAAATGTCTCAGCCACAGCAACAAGCCATAAAGTAGTACTTAAATGACAACAAATGCCAAAAGGTTATTAAACTTAATTTTCAACCTAGAAGGTTGAGGCAAACGAGGATACTTCCCCTCCCCCCGCTTGCAAAAATAATATGTAGTGAAGAAAATGATTTAAAACATACAGGTTTTCCCTAATGAAAAGTTTTTAAAATTTAAGTTTGGTTCATTTTACTTACCGTGCCTTTTCAAAATTAACAGCGTATTTTAACTGTAACAAAAAGACTTACATACCTTATGTAAACAAGTGTCCACTACCCAATTGCACACATTTTCCAGGTCATCAGATACCTCAAGCCTAGATTTAACAAATTCACAGAGCTCCTCATTACTCATAACATCCCAGATCCCATCACAAGCCAAGATGATAAATTCATCCTCTTCTGCTCTTAAAATTTCATAAACCTCAGGCTCTGGAGAAACAAGTTGTTCTGTTGGGCCCTTGCCATCAACACACTTGTAATCATAGTCCCCCAAAGCACGAGACACTGCTAATGAACCATTAACACGCTGTATCATTACACTGCCTCCTGCATTCTGGATTCGCTCCTTCTCCCGTGGATTGCAAGGTTTGTGATCCTGGGTGGAAAAGCAGACTTGTCCATTCCTATACAGAACAGCACGTGAATCACCACAGTTGATAAAGTAGATATGCTTGGGTGAAATCAGGACCCCCACTGCAGTTGAACCGCTTCTGTCCATTCCATTTCTGAGGTCTGAAAAGTTACGCATGTATTCATCGATTTTCAAAAAGCCAGTTCTGATGCCATTCTTGACATTTTCCACGGAGGGCTCAAGAGCGGATCCTGATTTTGCAGCTGCCCTGAAGTCTTCGTTATTAGTGATATGTTCTAATAAATGTGTTGAGCAGTAATTTGCTACTCGAGATCCAGCATGACCATCATAAACTGCAAAAAATGACCAGTCTTCCAAGCCGTGAGGAATGCCTACAACAGCTGTGTGTGCGTCTTCCATTTCCACTCTCCATCCTTGCATGCTGCTCAGGCCGTAACGTAAACCATTTCCAGCACCATGAGCATTATGTTTCTCAGTTTTGGGTTTGTCCAAAAATGCACCCATGTTTAATAAGGAATCTGAAAGAAAACAAAAAGCAGCCAAGGGTTATATGCTGAAATCTGTCAGAGAATTATCTATAATATTCCATCTGTTCTCTAGTAACTCCTATCTCAAGTGTGTTTTTCAGTATTCTCTGAATTTACTGGAACAACAAAAAAGAAACCAAGAAAATTTCCCCATACATCCTTATTCTAGAACAGTGGTTTCTCAATCCTGCCACATTAGAATCATCGGGCCAATTAAATCAGAATCTCTAGGGGTGAGACCCAGATATCGGTATTTTTTTTTAAAGCCTCTCTGGTGACTTAGATGTACAGTAAGTTGAAAACCACTGTTCCAGGAAAAGGAAACTAAGAAACACAACCTGGTTTAAGTTTTCTTAAATACTCAACTTAAAGCTTTTATTTACTTATTTATTTGTCAGAGAGAGAAAGGGAGAACACAAGCAGGCAGAGGGGCAGGCAGAGGCAGAGAGAGAAGCAGACTCCCCGCTGAGCAAGGATCCCGATGTGGGACTCGATCCCAGGACCCAGGGATCATGACCTGAGCCGAAGGCAGCGGCTTAACCAACTGAGCCACCCAGACGTCCCTTAAATATTCAATTTATAAGAGAACTCTGGGGTTCAATATAGAAGACTGATCCATGAGAATACTCAGAATGGTGTGGCATCTTTTCTAATATACTAAAGTAATTTAGTATATTTCAGGAAGATTTCCAAAAGCGTGGATTTGTAAGATATTTTCCCTCAATGATCCTGACTACCCCAAAACTTAATTTTTTTTTTTAAGATTTTATTTATCTATTTGACAGACAGAGATCACAAGCAGGCAGAGAGGCAGGCAGAAGCAGGCTCCCTGCTGAGCAGAGAGCCCGCTGTGGGGCTCGATCCTAGGACCCTGAGATCATGACCCAAGCTGAAGGCAGAGGCTTAACCCACTGATCCACCCAGGCGCCCCCCAAAACGTAATTTAAACATCAAATTTCCATTCTCAAACATTTGATTTTAATCAAAGTTTTACCACGTATCAAATTGAAAGCTATTATTTGGATTCTGTTAGAACAATGTAACCTCAGGGATGTGCTACAGAATATACTTAACACGCTGGTGGGTTTTATAATCCACAAAGTAGCATTAGGACAACTTTTACTCGGTGCTGACAGAGACTTACAATCCACACACAGGACTGTAACGTATGACGAGGCATCCCTCTCCCTCCTAACGTCACTGTTGTTTTAGAATAAAGCTTTCCCAATTTCAAATGACTTGGTCTAGAGTGCTGGTTCTCCAAATAAGCATGCAGATGCCCCAGTAGTTTCCCACCTACAATCCTGGCCCTAATACTAGCTGTGTGACCTTGAGTAAGATTCTTAGTCACTTGTAACTCAAATTCCTTCTGTGGATTAATTAGCCACTTTTACCTTCTCTCCTCTGTCAAATGGAGGTCACAACAATAGTACCCACACAGAGTTGCAATGAAGAATGAGTTGATGTAATGTGTTTAGCACAGTACTTGAAACAATAAAATCATAAAATGTTTGTTGTTACTTGCTCAAAATGTAGATTCCCAAAAAAAAAAAAAAAAAAAAAGATTCCCCCCCCCAGTACATCTTGGATGGGGGACCTTCAAAAGAGCATGCTGGCAACTGAAAAAAATCACATTTTGAGAGACACTAATCTAGATCAACAGACTTTCATTTGGATCTAGGTATCTTTGTGAGTTACCTTTTCCAGCTATGACCATTATTAACTATATATATATTTATATATATATAAAAAAATCCTGATGAACCACCATATATATATTTATAAATTATAGCAAATCTCTAATTTTTCATGAGTTATATATACTGTATATTACATATAAATATTAAAAGGAATTCTGAAAGTTTTCCAAAATGCATAAAATTACTTTTCATTTAAATATAACACAAAATAGCAATGTTATAGAATACATTTATTTTTTTAAAGATTCTATTTATTTATTTATTTATTTATTTATTTAAGAGAGAGAGAGAGAGAGAGAGAGAGCGAGCGAGCGCGTGAGAGAGAGCACGAGCACACAAGCAGGGAGAGCAGCAGGCAGAGGGAGAAGCAGACTCCCCGCCAAGCAGGGAGCCTGATGTAGGACTTGATCCCATGACCCTAGGATCATGACCTGAGCTGAATGCAGACACTTAACTGACTGAGGCACCCAGGGGCCCCAGGAGTCACACACTCTTCCGAGGGAGTTAGTCAGGTGCCCCTGTTGTTTTTTGTTATTGTTTTTTTTAGTGATCTCTATCCCCAGTGTGGGACTTAAACCCACAACCCCAAGAACAAGAGCTGCATGCTCTACCAACTTAGCCAACCAGGCACCCCCTCAAACCACTTTTCATTTCAATATGTCAATTAAAAAAAAAAAAAGTGTTGTCCTTTTCATCACCTTGATGCTCTAATTAAGGTGCCACTGTTTTACATTTCAACAAATAGGCTGAAAATCACCAGAATTACTCATTTCAAAGATTAAAACAATAGTTCAGAAATTCCTATTTCCAAATTTGTTTTTAAGTGAAGAATAAATAGAGAAGGAAGAAAGGATATTCAACAGAACATTACAGGGAACATTAAGAATGAAAAGGAACCTGGAAGGGCAGTTTTGGAAAACCATCCAATGAGTACCCCCACAACACACACTCTCCTGAATACTGTGGAAGTTACACCAAGAACAGCCTGCTACTTTCACTGCTAGGATTCCTACCTGCTGTCTGGTTCTTTCTAAAGTTGCTTGCTCAAGATTCAAAGTCCAGGAAATTAGTATCTGACTGAGCTCAAGTCACCAGCACACCTAACAGGCTTTATCAGGGACTACATTCTTTCGCAAATAGGTCATTTTTTAAAAAAGATTTTATTTTATTTATTTAAGTAGGCTCCACAACCAGCGCAGAGCCGGAACATGTGGTCTGAACTCATGACCCTGAGATCAAGACCTGAGCTGAGATCAAGAGTCAGATGCTTGGGGCATCTGGGTGGCTCAGTGGGTTAAGCCTCTGCCTTCAGCTCAGGTCATGACCTCAGAGTTCTGGGATGGAACCCTGGGATCGCATAGGGCTCTGCTCAGCAGGGAGCCTGCCTCCCCTCTCTCTTTCTCTCTCTCTGCCTGTTTTTCTGCCTACTGTGTAACCTCTGTCAAATAAACAAATAAAATCTTAAAACAAAAAAAAAAAAGAAGCTTAACCCAGAGCCACCCAAGTGCACCTCAAGATTTTATTTTTAAATAATGTCTACACTCAATATGAGGTTCAAACTTAAAACCCTGAGATCAAGAATTGCATGCTGTGGGGCATCTGGATGGCTCAATCATTACGCGGCTGCCTTTGGCTCAGGTCATGATCCCAGGGTCCTGGAACCGAGCCATGAGTTAGTTCCACATCAGGCTCCCTGCTCGGCGGGAAGCCTGCTTCTTCTCCCTCTCCCACTCCCCCTACTTGTGCTCCACTCTCTCGCTGCGTGTGTCTTTCTCTCTCTCTCTCTCTCTCTCTGTTACATATATACATACATAGATACATAAATATTGCATGCTGTAACTGAATGAGCCAGCCAGGGTGCCCCACAGATTGGCCATTTTTAAGTCCCAAACTGGTATTTTTAAAATTGGGGTTGTCCCTTAATGATTTATTTTTATTAAGTTTTACTTATTTATTTTTAAGTAATCTCTTATACCCAATGTGGGGTTCAAACTCAACCCTAACATCAAAAGTCAAACACTCTTCTGACTGAGCCAGCCAGGTGCCCCTGATTTAATTTTTTAAACATGAAATATCACACATATGAGAGATTACATAATATATACATATAGCTAAAAAGTAAAAAAATGAACACCTATGTACCCATCATACAATTTAAGAAGTATAACATTATCAAGACCACTGAAGCATCTTATTATCCTGAATTTTATCATCAGTATCCCTTGTAGTTTTTAACCACTTGAGGCACAGTTATATATTTTTTACATTATACATTGTACTCTAATATTTTGGGGGTTTTTGGCTCACCACTATACTTCTGAGATTCATCCACATTGACACAGAGCTGTAGTTCTCTATGCCACTATATGTTCGTGTATAATTTTTATCCATCCCACTATCAATGAATATTTGAGTTGTTTTTCATTTTTTAATATTATAAAACAGTGAACCATCTTGTGAACCATCTTGATGCCCATGTAGTTTTCCTAAAAGACATACCAAAATTCCCCAGTACTTAAAGTATGCAAATTTGACAGTTACTATACATGATCTTTTTTTCCAACAAAGATCACGTAACGGGGCGCCTGGGTGGCTCAGTCGGTTAAGCGTCTGACTTCAGCTCAGGTCATGATCTCAGAGCCCTGTTGTGTTGAGCCCCATTAGGTTCGAGGCTCAGCAGCGCATCTGCTTGTTCCGCTCTGTCTCTGCCTCTCTCCCCACTCATGCTCATGTGTGCACACTCAAATAAATAAAATCTTTTTTTAAAAAAATCACAAAACAAACCATCACCTTTCCAAAGGTTTAGTTCCCAAATGCTCATTTGCTAACACTACTTTCTTTAAAATAGTTACCTTCTTGGTAAGTAACCTTTATCTTGAATGGGAAGATTGTGTGTGTGTCTGTATTTTCTTTTATCTAAAAATATCTCCATACTGCTGTGGAATTAGCAACTTCTATTTTAAGTTGTATTATTCTTCAAAAGCAAAGAACTTTGCTATGAGATGATCAACAAACTTCTATGCAATAAAATGTATTTCCTGGTCACTTCTCATATAGGCACTGTAGAAACTACTTTATTTTTTTTAAAGAATTATTTAGGGGCGCCTGGGTGGCTCAGTGGGTTAAAGCCTCTGGCTCAGGTCATGATCCCAGGGTTCTGGCATGGAGCCGTGCATTGGGCTCTCTACTCAGCGGGGAGCCTGCTTCCTCCTCTCTCTCTCTGCCTGCTTGTGATCTCTGTCAAATAAACAAAATAAAAAAAAAAAA